GAGCCCCGAGCCCCCAGCCCTGAGCCCCGAGCCCCGAGCCCTGAGCCCTTCCCGGGCCTGGCTCAGCCCTCGCTGCCGAGAAAAGCCCAGAAGGGAGCGAGTGATGGGAAGCTGAAATCGATCTTGGGAAATCAGCCCAGCCCTGGCCCCAGCGGTGGCTCTGGGCCCTGACCCAGTCCTGGCCCCATCGCTGGTTCTGGGCCCTGACCCAGCCCCGGCCCCATTGCTGGTTCTGTCCCAGCCCCGGCCCCATTGCTGGTTCTGTCCCAGCCCCAGCCCCATTGCTGGTTCTGGCCCAGCCCTGGCCCCATCGCTGGTTCTGACCCAGCCCTGGCCCCATCGCTGGTTCTGGGCCCTGACCCAGCCCCAGCCCCATCGCTGGTTCTGGGCTCTGACCCAGTCCCAGCCCCATCGCTGGTTCTGTCCCAGCCCCGGCCCCATTGCTGGTTCTGGGCTCTGTCCCAGTCCCGGCCCCATCGCTGGTTCTGTCCCAGCCCCGGCCCCATCGCTGGTTCTGGGCTCTGGCCCAGTCCTGGCCCCATCGCTGGTTCTGGCCCAGCCCTGGCCCCATTGCTGGTTCTGGGCTCTGTCCCAGTCCTGGCCCCATGGCTGGTTCTGGCCCAGTCCTGGCCCCATCGCTGGTTCTGGGCTCTGGCCCAGTCCTGGCCCCATTGCTGGTTCTGTCCCAGCCCTGGCCCCATCGCTGGTTCTGGGCTCTGACCCAGTCCTGGCCCCATTGCTGGTTCTGGCCCAGCCCTGGCCCCATTGCTGGTTCTGGACTCTGACCCAGCCCTGGCCCCATCGCTGGTTCTGGCCCAGCCCTGGCCCCATCGCTGGTTCTGGCCCAGCCCTGGCCCCATTGCTGGTTCTGGGCTCTGGCCCAGTCCTGGCCCCATCGCTGGTTCTGGCCCAGCCCTGGCCCCATCGCTGGTTCTGGGCTCTGGCCCAGCCCCGGCCCCATTGCTGGTTCTGGGCTCTGGCCCAGCGCTCTCTGGGGCAGTGGAGCCTCCCCTGGCCCGGCTGGAGCCGCGTGGTTCTCACCGGGCAGCGCCCGGAGCTGCCGAGAACGCAAGATAACCTGGGGGAGAAATCACGGGAAATAATGAGAGATAAACCACGGGGATAAACCACGGGGATAAACCATGGGGATAAACCACGGGGATAAACCATAGGGATAAACCATGGGGGATAAACCACAGGAAATAACAGGGGAAAAATCGTGGGGGATAACAGGGGATAAATCATGAGGGATAAACCACAAGGGATAGACCACGGGTGATAAAACACGGGGGATAAATCATGGGGGATAAACCATGGGGGATAAAACATGGGAGATAAAACATGGGAAATAAACCATGAGGGATAGACCATGAGGGATAGACCATGAGGGATAGACCACGGGGGATAAACCACAGGGGATAAATCATGGGGGATAATTCATGAGAGATAAACCACGGGGGATAAACCATGGGAGATAAACCATGAGGATAAATCATGGGGGATAATCCATGAGGGATAGACCACGGGGGAAAAACCATGGGGGATAAATCATGGGGGATAATTCATGAGGGATAAATCATGAGGGTTAGACCATGAGGGATAGACCACGGGGGATAAACCACGGGGGATAAACCATGGGGGATAAATCATGGGGGATAATTCATGAGGGATAAATCATGAGGGTTAGACCATGAGGGATAGACCATGGCTGATAAACCACAGGGACCTTTTGAGGCCGTGCGGAAACTGCGGCGTTTGTTGATTTATTTCTGGAGGCCGGGCCCGAGCTGGGAGCGGGAGCAGCTGCTGGGGATCAGCTTTGTTCTCAGCCAGCACAAGACCCAGCACGTTCGTGTCCTCCCGTCACGTTCCTGAGCCTCCTGGTCCT